TTGGGGGGGATAATGCCCATGATAATATTCAGAGGAAAGCACTAAGTAAGAGACTTCTTAGAAACAAAAGAGGAACGGGAGCTTAATGACTGGAGTAAGCGTGGAAGGTAGTTATTTAAATGGAAATGCGATGACAGGAATGAGCTTTGAAGACATAATAACAGGCCGGCAAACAAATAATGAAGAAAAAAACTGCTAATTGTAATGAATAGCGGAATGCTCTCACGCAGACAACCTACCTCTAGCAAAGGAATACCATCCCATCTTTACAGCAAAGGTCACTGCTTATATAGCAATTAAAGATGTTTTTTAACCTTGATTTACCCAGTGAAGGTTGGTTCATGCTTCGCAATCATACAGTAACAAACAGTCTCCTTGGGGGGGCATGTACCCCTCACAAACAGTGTGGTCCCTGGAGTTTAATAAATCACCTTAGAAGAAGACTCTCTGAAGGAAACTGGAAGGCTCTGACGTTAATGGAAGCGTATACGTGGAATAAGAAACCGTGTTTATTCCTACACACGAACCTTCTGATGAAGCTGATTGAGCTGACCAATCAGAGAGGGCGAACTCCTCCAGATTCGGGGGAGATTAATACGAGCAGCAAAACCAGGCTGGGTTCATGACAGTGAGTCAAAAAAAAAAAAAAAGCCCGACGGATTACGTCATGTTACGACACACAGCAGTTTACCTTTGCAGATACACATAACACTAACGACTGTTAGACTTTAAGTCTCGCTAATGCACTTCTGTGCTTATTCAACACCTGTTAAGTGCTTTTGTGGAGCTCCTACTTACTTAGAGTTGTGTTTGTACCACCTAATAAAAAGGAGATGGTCTTGCATTAGCCGTCTATATAGCCTGGGTCCATTATGAAACAATTAGCAGAATTCTAAAAAGGGTACCATTTTGAGGCCTGGTTCACAAAATAAAGAGAAGATTACCATTAGGAACATGGACTGTAGAAATTGTAAACATGTGATAAAGCCGGGGGGACGCACACCAACAGGGGAAGGCAAGCCGCTGCCACACAGACCCAACTGGGAATGGGAAGGAAATCTGGAATCCTCTTTCCGCGAAGCAACAGTGGGAACCGCTGAGCCGCCGCGTTGCCGAGAGCCACCGAATGCCAGCCACATAGTCAAATTCAGCAAAAAGCCTTCCACGCCATGTGCCGTGTCCATCTCCCGCCTGTCGGCTCGCGGCGCCACAACTCCGAGCTCAGCAAACGCTTTCGCCTCCATCTTGCTTTCTGTCATCCACTTCTCGCCCCTCCTAACTCGGCCTCCCCGGCTCCCTTCTCTCTATCTCCCTGCCTCATCTCCCTGTCTCCTTCCTTTCCCCACTCTATACATCTCCATCCGCACACTACTCACTGTAAATGCTGTGCCAGCAGAGTGATGCCGGGGAAATGGCGCCATCGTCATTGAGAGAGCAAGCAGACGGAGTGTGTGTGTGTGTGTGTGTGTGTGTGTGTGGTGGGGGTGAGGTGGGGGGGGTGGTGTTGGTGGTGCTGGAAGTGGGTGTTCGGTGACAGGCCCTGAAACCCTGCCATCAGAAAACCCACTGCAGCAGCAATCGCAGCGCTACGGCAGATGGGATACACGGCCAAAGCCCCGCATTCAGAGTAGGATCAGTCAAAAAAAAAACATAGGGTATATTCTCTTGATCCCCCGAAACTCCAGAAGCATTTGTCTTCTTACGAGCAGAACAAAGTGCTCAAAACAGGCTGAGAGTGTGAGACAGCGCAAGCCGCGCAGACAGGTACTTCGGAGGAGGACGACGGGGGTCGCTACATAAGCAAGCTGGCCGGGCAAGCGGACAAGCCACGGTTCATTAGAGGACTGTGGCGTCTCCTTTCCATCCTTCGACTGTTCGATAATACCAGCTGTTCCTACGCTCTACCTCCCCCTACTCCCCCCCCCCAAACCTATCAATATCCCAGCAACACAAAAGCACCGGCTATCGCCGAGCGCGGCTTGAAGCCTGTCCAGCGCGCCTCTGAAAGTTGGGCAGCGTGGCGTGCGCGTATGTTTTTGACAGTCTGGGGGCCGCTGGCGAGGTCGTTAAATGGGTGGCGACTACCAAAGAGGTTAGAATCACACGGGTGGCTTAACGCGGACTGGCGAAGGGCGGCCCACGCCGTGCAGCGCTCAGTGTGTGTAAAAGGGTTCATTTTGTCAAAATTAACCTTGTCAAGCTCTGGTTCGCCCGGGAGGAGATTTGTATTACTAGTGAATTTCTTCAATCAAAGATTGTGTGGGGGGGGGGGGAGTTTGAACATGCCTGTTCGCTCTCCAACGTGTTGTGCATTCTTACTCTGTTTTTCCTGTTTTGTGACGCTCCTCTCACTGTCAGTTTAGAATTTTAAGCCGATCCCCATAACGGGATTCTCCGCTTCCCGAGTGTTGTGTGCGGTGTTCCGTGTTTGTAATCGACTACGGCGAGCCAGTGCGTTCCCTGCATCCACTCAAGCTCGGCGTACTCCAGACTCTGCTACTCTCTGCTGGGTCAAAATTAATTACAGAAGCTGTTAAGCACACACCGGCTGTTGTAAACAAATGCAAATATTTTAATTTCAAACAAGTCCCTTTGTATCACAGCACACAGAATACGGTAAATCTAAAGCGTTTGGCCGTCGTTTATCTGTTTTTTCATTCATTTGATAACTCACCCCTGTCATCACTTCAATAACTATGCTGTTTTTGGCCGGACGTGTCATTTGCAGTCCATTTTGCTCTTGGACTCCGCACTGGATCTGCTGCCACCGATTCCTTTTTTTTAAGCTGGAGGACAGCAGGACCATGACACTGAGTCAAATGGAAAGAAAATCAAAGCCTACAGTATATAAACTGCAGTGATCCTTCCACTATAAGAGCAGCGATAACTTCCATTATCAATTACAACAACAATACTATTACAAAAAAATAGTGAAAATGGATGTTACATTTTCCAACAGACAAAGGCGACATGTCAAAAAGTCTCGTTCCTTTCATATATTCATATTCAGTTCACATCATGTGTGACAAAGACAAGCATCAAATCCTCACGTTCAGAAGAATCAACAGAATGAGAGACTAAAAATGTTTGGACTTTTTGCAATTGCAAATTCTCTGCACAGTAGTGCAGATGGCAAAAACAGATCCTCGTCCAAGCCTGTGGGATGTGGTCCAGGGGGAAAGCCCCATCAGCAAACTGCTGCTGCACCAACCAGCCGGCCCTAAATGGAGGAGCATTCTGTACTATACCATCAGGGAACCAAAAAGGCAATGCAGTGTATCGGATCCTCACTAAACAGTGAAACTTCACAAAGCACGGCACAAGCTATTGGGTTTCTGGAGACGTATGACAGTTTTTGGGGGGGTTTGCACAAGCCCCCCCAAAAAAAGAAGGATGAGTGCTGCCAATCCATCACTAACAGGCAGTTCAGACCCTTGTCCTCTTCCTGGAGCGATTCAACCCCTAAGAGCAATTGTCCCACTGGCTATGACAATGTGAACGCTACAACGCCTGTTCCCCGCAGAGCAACAGCAACAGCGGCGCATCCACGCTGACAAGCCGTCTTAAGGGTGTAGCTGCTCTGTATTCCAAAGAGAGATGACAGCCACGTTGCACTATCATGACATTATTGCATTCCTGAAGAGCAGGCCACTGTGTTTCCAACAGTGAAGCCATCTAATGACACGTTTTTTGTATTTGTATTGCTGTTACTGGCTATGTTTAATTGTCCAAATGTCCACCATTGGGGAATCAACCTGGGGAGTAAAAGGTTCTTGCGCCAAATGCAGGATTTTAAACCAACACAAAATCACAATTTTAAACCATCACAAAAATTCATGACGATTTAAACTACCAATGAGGATAAGAGTTTTATTTGTGGAAAGGGAAACAGAGGAGACAAAAAACAGAGATTGGACATAATGAAAAGATCAATTTCCACTGAACCTGAAGTAGTGCATCATCCGACAAAGGTCGAAGGATAATAGCAGCCACAGACCATTTTACCGCTGGTGCCTTGCAGTCATATTTTATTCTCACTATGTGTTTAATGCCTTTCCACTACCGGTTATCTGTGCTGTTTTCAAAGAGGCCAACCAAACTCTCAGAAAGGCCAACCTCCCTCAGTCGTCCAGCAAGCCCGAACTTGCCAATCGGCCATCCTGTTTCCAGACAGCACAGTCATTTCCCAGCCCAGTGGAGCAGCACTCCCTGACCTCTGCCTCGACCTCCGCCTCAGCAGCCCGAATTCTAGCACCGGCACCGGCTTCAGCCCGGGGAGCAGGCGCAGGCCACCTCTACTTATTTATGAGCCATTTCACACAGTGCTGCTCCCATTAGAGACCCTGCCTTGGCCCACCTTACACGGCACTCTCCTTGCACTTAACACATACAGTACACCAGCAGGACCAGGGGGACATGGGAGGTGGTTGAGGATGGTGGGCAGGGTTGGAGGAGACCACTGGACCAATCAAATAAGTACCGTCACCCGCCCAGCTAAAGATTACATCAAACGAGCAGAGAATGACAAACACCATCGATCCACTTTCCAGTTGGCGAACATGACGCCAGTCACTCCATTTAGCACAATCTTTGGTCCATCTTTTATTGCTGTATTGCATTTTTTAAATACGTAATGGTTCTCCCCTGAGAAATGATCACCCACTGATCTAATTAACGAGGAAAAAGAAGGGTTTCGCCTATGATGCGATAATTGGACATTTCATTATTTCTCATTCATTTTGTTGGAGCTGAAGTGTTACTGCAAGCAGGAAAAGAGAGAAAGGAGAGTCTCAACAGCAGAAAAATTGATTGATGGATTGGTTTACAAAAGCATAGCCGACCATGATAGGAAACTGCGTATGCAGGATTGAAACCAAGATTAGCCTTAACTGGTACTGCAGGACGCCAGTAGGTGTTTACTCCTGGACAAAGATCACGACGTTGATTTGAAAGACCCGGGAGCTGTTCATGGAGCCAGAGCGACAAGAACCAACACCCACCTGTGATTGTCACGGAGGCGTTTCCCTCCTCGCCCAGCAGTGGATTTATCAGTCGGCAGCTGTAGGTGCTATTGGCCTCGAGCACGACGGTCAGCACGCTGGTCATGGAGAAAAGCCCGTCCTCATTGGCCACCGATGAAGTGGTGACATTGTCTATCAGGTTCTGCCCGCCCCCGTTTTGCCACATCACGCTAGCTTCGGGATAGCCGCCGTAGGCCGCGCAGGTCAAGGCCACCTCATCACCTGGTCGCAGGTTGGATTTAGGCTGCAGAGTCAGCACAGGCTTGGAGTATGGGGCTGAAACGAGGCAGGAGAACACAGGAGGAGGAGGAGAGGGGTCGGAGGGGGGGGGGGGGGGGGGGAGGAGGAATTTAGGAAGGAAGGAATTTAGTTCAAGTCTCTGCAGTGAGAGTCACCCTGGGAACTGTTTGACATGATTCCCATTAAATTCTTAATCATTTTGAGGGAGCTTAGCATAGCTTAAGATCACCACAGACGGCATCTGTGGCACTTCCTGATTGTGCATCCTTAACGCCGCCCTCTCTGGAGACCCAAAGCACCGGGCCACTCCCACAGAGGGAATAAGGCGCGAGGGAGGTGGAGGTGGACGACAGGGCTTGGATGATACTGGCAGGCTCCGAAATGTGAGACGACTCAGCGGATAACATGGAAAAGAGCGCAGAGGGGGGGAAATTGTCCGCCTCAGCCAAAACCACGCTCCTGCAATCCCTTGAGCTGAGACATGAGTATGGAGGTGGTGGAGAAATGGGCTGCTGTATTCCCAGAGCCAATCATTGCAAAGCAAACAATGGGGTGGAGCTCAGGGCGAGATGAAATAAGTTTGTCTGAGCTGCTTTTTGAAAAGCGGACACTGAACACAAAGACGGATTTAGCGCGGTCCACACCAACTTCGCCGGCTGTCCATTTGACCGACAGGCAGACGTCCATCGAGGGATCCTTTCATTTTCCTCCAGCACAGCGTGAAGGAAGTCTACGACGTTAACTGTAAATGCTGGTTAAAAATAGAACGTCTATGAACCTAATGGGTGAAATGGAACCAATTTGTCACTGTTGGAGACATTGTTTTCTCTCTCCTAAGACAGGAGGGGAGGAAAAAAAAAGTTATTCATTAACTCTGCCTAATACACATCCATCCTTGGAGAATACAGGAACAATCTCACAACAGATATAGAAATGTGAGAGGGAAGGAAAGGCACACAGTGTCGTTATAAATAAATAAAAGGCTCTCAGCTGTGAAGCGGGAGACGCAGTCTCACAGCAGAGAAGAAGTTGGGGATGGTTGATTGACCGTAACAACGGCTAATAATCAAAGTCAGCACATATTGACCATGACAGACCACAAACAGTACGTATTGACCAATAATGCTGCTCGGGAGCCCTGAGGAAACTATTTATCACCTACTCACAGAGGAGAGAGGAAATGATCATAAATCACCATCTCCATAGGTAATTGTACATTACATTTTACTGCATGCTATATAAGTGTATATGTCTGTATAAGTGCTGAGGTCAAATGACTTAAATAGAATCAATTCAACTATAAAATGAAGCAACGACACAAACACTGCGTGATAAAAGACCATATAATTGTTTATCCTGCTCTAAAAACAATTAACCTGTTTGTATAATATTTTATGTCAATTTTATGTCAAACCACTGCTTGGGTTTGGAGAAAAAGTATAGACAGCCTGCATTATAATCCTAAACGATATGGACCGGTACCAGGCTGGAGCCGCCTTATATTATGTGCAACTAGGCTGCATCGTGGGAGGAGTTGATGTTTTTCAGACTTTAAATGGCACTGACTTAAGTTCAAGGTTTAAGAAATTACATTTTCATCATTATCTTCTGAATGATCTTACTTTATGAAAGTGTTATACTATGAAGATAAGGGAATTAACAAAACAGAAAATGAACCTGGACTATAACTACAACTATGATCTCACATGCAATTCATCCCTCACATATTTTATGTATTATTCAATTCATCAATAAAATCAGGAATTGTTAAGAATATTTTTGGTTTTTTGTAATCTAATTTAGGAATTTCAGTGAATTTCATATAAATGTTGCTATAAAGTGAAGCAAATATGTCCCTGGGTGTGTTTTCTTTGTGTGTATCCACGTTTCTTTTCGCCGCTGGTCCTAAGTCCCCCCGGGCGTCACGGCTGGACTCACCGGCCACCTGCAGCAGCAAAGCCGCGCTGCCGTAGTCGTGCACCCTGACGAAGCAGGTGTAGCTGCCCTCGTCCGCCACCACCACCCTGCTGAGCAGGAGCGAGGCGTTGCCGAGGCCCAGCTGAGCGGGGAATAGGGCGGTGCGGTTGGCGAACCTCTCGGCCTGGTACTGCAGCTGGTCGCGTCCCCCCGAGTAACTGTACACGCTTTGCTGGGTGTCCGTCAGCTGCCAGAAGACGGTCAGGTTGGACAGGTTGAAGGGTTTGGCGAGGCTGAAGGAACAGTGGAGCGTGGCGTCGCTGCCGTGCAGCGCCACCACCGGCTGCTCCGGCACTCGCACTTCCATCGCGGCTGTAAGACAGAACGTGGGACCCGTGAGCAGGTTTCATTAAATTACATGTCATTTAGCTGACGCTTTTATCCAAAGCGACTTACAATAAGTGCGTTCAAACATAGGGTACAAACTCAGAAGAGCAAGAAACAAGAAAGTGCAATTTCATCAAATAAGCCAATTGATAATTTGCTATGGATAAGTGGCATTGTAAGTACAATTTAAGTGCTACAATTTGTTAGTCTTTAATCGAGGTGGAGTCTGAAGAGGTTTGTCTTTAGTTTGCGGGGGAAGATGTGAAGGCTCTCTGCGGTCCTGGTGTCTTCAGAGAGCTCGTTCCACCGTTTCGGAGCAAGTACAACGAGGAGTCCTTGAATTATAAAAACAAATACCCGTTTTATTGCGTGTTAGAAAACGTTACGGCAAAGTAAATATGAACACACTGACTTTTTGTCTGAAATAGATAATAAATTGTGTTGGGAAATACTATTTTGCCCAGGTGTGGTATAAACATTCCGCATTTGCTGAATCACACCATTAATTCAGCGCACTGTGTTCAAATGGGAAAGCTATTCATATTGTGGTACCCTTAAAAAAATATCAATGCTGTATTTTGAAATACATGCTGCGCTTGCTTCAGAAACATCCCCACTGTTTGTGCGGCACGTTAGCGGCGGAGCAGGTGAGTCGGGATGAAGGCGAGGGGGAAGAAGAGGAGGCATCCGGCGGTAAGCGTTACAACTTTGTTTGCTGAGTGTGTGAAGTGAAAAGCGACTCTGCTTCCCTCCAAACTGTTTTACTCAAAGGCGGCGGATTTTTTTTCTTGAAATAAGACCGTTCATTAGTCCCACCACGGGGTAATTGATTCACAGCCAACCAAAATAAACGATCGCCGTATCTATATGCTCGGTTCTGATTCGTCTTCTTGCACGAGTGCATTGTTTGTCTAGACAAGGCTAACAGCAAGGAGTACACCGAATAATCATTCTGAATTAGTAGCCATCTCAGTATTCTCAAGAGTCAGCGTTCTTCATTGATCTCTGGCTGCTCAGCTCTCAAACACTCATCAGCATCAACAAGGAAATTTTTTTTTTTAAAGCCAGCCGGCCGGTCGGCCCCTGGAGCGGCGCGCTGTACTTTCTGCTCAGCCTCTCTAATTGTTATAATCACAGTGTCATTTTAGCCTCCTCGCCCCCTTTTTTGAGCCGTGTCCATCACGCAGCCGAGCGTCCTCGTTGCTCGGCTGCGGAGGAGATGCGACTGCTACTTCGCCAATTAACAACAAGCAAGTCTTTCATCTGAGAGGGTCCATACACGGCGGGGTGTTGCCAAGCCAAGGCAGACCTATTTTCAATCGCACGCATGCCATTCCCGACTCCTTGGGCCCGTCACACAGCAGCACGAACAGGCCGCTCGTCTGTAGGAACAGTGCCACCTATTGGCCAACTTCACAAGAGCACAGAAGTGGTGGCGAGAAAGCTCAAGACAGCTGTGGAAATACCTCAAGGATCGGAAGAAAGCGGAGTGTCGGGGCCCAAAACGGCTCTGGTTTTTAGAGTGAAAAGAGTATTTTGGATCAAAATCGTTCAGTGATCGAGGCACACAAACATGCGATGGGCGTTTTGTAAGACCTATTTTCTCCTCCCTCAATTATTTCTTCTCCTATGACATTTTTGACCAGAAAAGAATCAACGCCCCCCCATGCCAACCGCACAACAACAATTATGGAACCCCCGTGGCTGCAACAGGAGAAGGCTTTCCTTTTTTTTTTCTCCTCTCCTTTACTGCGATTACAAAGGCGCCTGCCGCTGCGGGGGGTTTTCTATCACCCGTATTGTGCCCACATTCACTCTGATGTGCTACACCACGACAAACAATCCAGAAGAGTCATCAGGGCAAAGCGTGAGAGGAGCCGGGCGGTATTGTTGCCGCCGTCACAATGGATAAACCGGGCAAATTTCTGGAGTGTGTATTTATGTTGTCTTTGGAGGTGGCCCAACCTTTGCGGTAATGAATAGGTTGCTGGTTGCCTTTCTTTTAGGAGTGCAGGGTCAGTGACAGTCCTCTCTTAGACGTGCATGTTGAAGGAGGAGGAGAGAGAGCAATTAAATCCCTCCCCGAGCAGCCTGGGATGACTCACACCACTGGCTTCGTACGGGTGAGGGGGGGGGGAGGGGAAGAGGGGAGGCGAGCGTCCACCTCACACTTAAAGATAATATCTGAAAACAAGCCGAGGGAGCGCGGCTGTGGTGGAGCCTCGCACACTAATCCTTCAACGCACACCAAAGCCGTGTCAGAGAGGAGAAAGAGATAGAAACTCCCCCCCCCCTTTAACTGCACATCTCTTCTCTCACCCCGCTTCTTTAACCAGTGACCTGCCATTTGCTCCGAGGCCCCGGGAATTAAAGGGGGGTGGGGGAGGGCGGCGGTTGCAATGCATCGAAGCGCTTGGACATGAGAGGAGGGCCAGCCGGTGCCAGCTGACGTCACGGAAAGCACACATCTGATGTCCTGTTCGTCAGAGGTGAAATACCGCGAGCCAAAAGCGAGTCACTGCGCACTTGGCTGCTTACGCCCAACGGCACGCTGTGCGTAGCGGCCTCGCGTCCGACCGCGTCTCCTCAGACAATGTAAGGCAATCTAAGGAGACGAGTGCGAGTGGCATGAGGTTAGAGAGTGCAGCACTGGTGGGGTGGTTTTGGAGAGGCGGGCCCCCACCCTCTCTCTCTCTCTCTCCCTTCTCCCTCTTGATACAGAGATGCTCAGAAGCCCGGTGAAGGCAGGCTGGGAGACCTCAGGCTGCAGGGGGGTTTACGCTTTGTGTCCGTGGGCCTCGGCTCTGTTTGAGTGCCTGCGAGACAGGAGACGGGCACATCCACAGCCGACATGAAACAAACTCATTACGGCGTTTTTCGCGAGCGCTGGCAACGGGCCCTGCTTAGCAGCGAGGAAGAGGGGGCTGGCCAGGAAGAAAAAAAGAAAAGGCCGCCAGTGATCTTCCCACTGCTCCCCGTTGTGCGTTGTGGAGACGACACAGCGGCTCGTGACAGTCAAACCTCCTTCCGTCTCGCTTTCCCTCCGAATCCTCGGGGGCGTGGGTGCCCCCCCTCCCTCCATCCCTCCTCCCGGCCCTCTGCCACGTCACGCGTGTATTGAGCAGACGCTCTCCGTGCAAAGTGAGGGCCAGCGTTGGAGGCTGAGCGTGAGACGGAGACGGCGTAGGATGCGAGCAGACAGCTAATGGGAGGATCAGTGCTTTTGTAGGGGAGGTTGCTGGCAGGGTGACTCACGAGGACCTCGGTAAATATCATCCTGGCAGATACACAGATATCGGATAGATTAAAGCAGTGTGTGTGCACGTAGAATGACATGTGCACAGAATTGGATAACTGGACTGGGATTATTAGCCCTCGCCACTCAATCTAAGCAGTTATTTGGCTTAAAACACTGGTTTTAATCCAACCTGAACAGCTTGGATTTTCTGTATTTCATTAAAATAATAACATAAATAGCTATTGTGAGGTCATTGCCTGAAGTAAGCCAAGTGGCAGGTCAGGTCAGAAAGATGCCTCCTTGTTTTATTCGCTATCTTTAACGCTGAATATTTCTAACTTTCGTCCGTGCAGCCCCAACAAATGGCGAATGTGCGTTTCAGACAAGCACACACAAGTCCACGTCGCTCGGGATGATATTCCAGAAGTGGTGCCAGATCGTTGCATATTTCCCGACAGCGCAACATTACCACATCAACAATTCCACTCAACACAGAGATGGACAACAATAAATGTGGGGAGAAAATAAATACAATAAGCTAGGGGGCAACTACTGAGATGGAAAAATGGTAACTAACAATTTCCCTGAATTGAACATGGTTTTTGGCAGTAATATGACTGTTTGTACCATACTGAGTGCACAAACAGTAGAGATGGATAATGCTGCAAGCATTTTAATTGGTCATTTTAATGTGTTTTTTTCCACCACTGTGGAAACTGGTTAAATTAAGCAATCCGTTAACTGACATGAAAATACATTTTTCGATATGGAATATTTCAAGCTTACAATGCTCAAATTAAAGCAATTGAATTCAGGGGACTTGAAAAAAAGAGTCTACCCCCATTTTTTCCCTTTGATCATGTTTAATTTATATCCCGGCTCAGCGAGAGCCACAACATGCTCCAGTGGTCGTGAGTTGAATCAAACTGTTGATCATTGCAAAGCGCGACCAGCTTATTCCCTTCTGGGGGGAAAGAATACTCCTCGTTTCAAAATATGAATCATGCCAGAAATGATCAGTTCTGTATGAGTCAGTGCGGATTTAAATTTAAATTATGGTTATGTCAGTTCTGCTGTTTTTTATTGACTTAACAGCTTCAGAATGAACGCCGTTGCACTTTCTGTAGAAGCAGTATCAAAAAGAAATGAAATATGGATGGCGACGGATTGCCGTAGTCCTCCTGAAGAAGGAAACAGGTCCAAGTACGAGCAATCAGTTAGCGCTGGCTTCAATCAGCAGTATCAGTGGTATCAGTATCAACAAACTCCAAACAATATCCACACACACTATCGTGCAGAAACAGACACCCACAGGCCGGCGAGCGCATTGATATTCCACACCTGTGTGACTCCTGACAGCTCCACAGCAACACACTGTCTGAGGAATTGGACACGAAGTACTCTGACACTACAATGGAGACGCTGTTACAAAGCTGCTCTGGAGCAGAGAGGTTCCCATCAGCATGACCGGCCGCGGCCAAATAAACAAATGCACACGTCTGCACGGCGCTGGCACACAGGTACACCAGCCGACACGAACATACACACACGCAAACAATATATTCATGTGAGTAATTATATACATATCAAAGTATCTATCTGTATGCAAGTATCCTTTTCACAATTGACTTCAGATGAGATTCATATATTGATGTCCAGCACAAATGAAGGCATTCGATTCCAAATCCACGGCCCTTCCAGCTCAATAAGCAATACGACTCATTGCGGCACGCAAAGGTAGAGGCAAACATGGTGACTCCTTAACAGACTGTGAACTTATTCAGCCAATCAGTGGAGTCATGTGTTAAATATTGCTAAGTGGCCACGTCGAGGGTCTCGCTCGAACCTTGTGGAAACCAACCACCTACAAATTGAGGTGCAATAAATAGGATTTCACACGTAAAGAAAAAATGGAGCGCTGGAGGGGGCGATGTTGACACAGCAAAGTAAACAGGTGCAATGCTAACAGACTGCAAGGACAGTAGGGTTCAGTAGGACTAGAAGACCAGCAGGACAGATAGGCTTTTACAACACTGCCCCCCTCTGTTGAAGAGCGGAACTGCAGCTCAGCCCATTTTCGCTCGGAACCATCAGAGGATTGTGCTCAAAGGATGTGTGAGCCTTTTTATAACTATAATTATTCTTATGATATAACTAATCCCTGTGAAAAAAAAATGCTGAGGGGAAAGCAATAAGTCCATAACACTCCCATTTCAAAGAATTTGCATTTGGAAAACATTAACGGAGCGGGTGCGTAGCACGTGTGTTCTGGTCTTAAATTAAATTAAAAATCCGAAATGGAGCCTGTGTCTTTGCAGGTTGTTTATCAAATTGGCCCCACGGTGGAAGAAGCACAATACAGATGAGTTTCAGTGACACTTCAGGGTCACTTCAGGGTCACTTTCAACATTAAGCTCCAAACGTAGTCTCTTCCTCCCGCATCTTTGCTGGAGGAGCTCATCGTGGAGTGTGAGTGCCCTCTCTCAGGGAGAGATACAGGTGATGTGAGGACCTTTTTCCAACAACGTCATGAATCATGTTTGTGCTATTTTCGCTAGTTCTGCTCTGTTTCTCGTATCTCGGCTCCCTTCACTGTCGCCTTCTTCACAGATGTATGAGATCTCATTTCCCGTCAATAAGCCGCTAATGGGCTTCCGGCACACCGATAATACCACCGCCCGAAGAACGGTGGAAAGATAAGGCAGAGTCCCTGTCTTTCAAAAAACCCGAGAGACCGTTACAGGACGAGCTGGAGGCGTGACGGCGTTCATACGCTGTGGTCATCATCACGGGACGAGCCAGAAACCCCTCTGATGAGGCAGCTGTTTTCCATCAATCCTCCTCTTTCACGGGTTCGTAGCCTTCGCCGATTCACGCTTTCCAAGCACTCGGGAGCGATGCCAGGTCAGGCGTGGGTCAGTGTGTCGCCAGCTGCGTGCCGTCTAAATGCCGCCTGACATCACCGCCGCCGAGGCTGCACCCTGGGGAGGCGGGTGTCCCCCTGCGTCGGCCTCCCCTGACGCCCTTTTTTTCCCCAGCACAGATCAGCATCCGCTCTAGCCATTCATCGCGGCCCACCAGGCACGCAACAGGCCCACATATGCCCCCCTCCGGAACTGCAGTCCCAGGCATATTAACCGTGTATCAATGTTTCAACGATCCCACGAGGCAGAATTTTTGAAGACGTGTTGAAATAATCATGAGGTGCTCGTTGGGTAAAGCACTCAGCTCCAATGAGCTCCACTGTGAGCTGCGGAGCCCGTGAGACGCGGGCGAGCCGGCAGAGGCCGCTCATTACGTATGCATTGCAGCGAAACCAATCTTCGCCTGAGCCAGTCCTCCGTTGTTTTTTAAAAGGATACTTCGCCGGACGCCAGCAAATTAGCCAGAACATTACAGATGTGGGCTAATGCCCCTAAATTGAATTTCAACACAGGCTAAAGTGTCCCCTCTCTGCAGAATCAATTGCTGTGAAGAGAAAAGGAGGACACAGGAAGAGGGCATTCATAGTTAGCGGACCTTTTTAAAAAGTACACCGGAGAGGGTTAGGGGCGCGAGCGCGCAGTTTGCGACTACCACGCGTGATGCGATCTATCCAATTACGCTGATTAATTCGAATCACCTTACAGCTCCCCATCACCGGGAGGGAAATTAGGTCAGCTTAGGTTTTTCTTTTTCTGCATTGGAGTGAATACAAATTCCACTTTCATTGTTCGGGCACGGCGAAGCTCTGGCAGCCCGGCGGCTGTGCTCTGCTAACTCAACAGAGACTGACAACGGCGAGCAATTAGCCGTACGGCCTCCTGTTAGCTGTGCCGCTGGCTGACAGCGCTGCGCTGGACCGGGCCAAGAACACCAGCGTGCACGGTGCAACTGTTCCGTCATTACTGTACATACGCAATGACATTTTCACGCATTTTGCTGACACTTGTAACCACTCTGGGTAATAATGAGCGCGGTGAAAAATAAAGCTGAGCCATTATAACCCAGCGGCAGCGTGAAGGGTCAAAGGCAGACCGGGGCTGGAGAGGCGCGTTTTTTTATAACTTTGACGTCCTCCAATAGTGCATTTCAGCACAAGCACACGGAAGCCCTTTTAGAGGGGAGTCTCTTGCAACAGCTGTGCGGCGCTGAATGAGCAACATCAAGGGGAGATTTCACAGAGCACGATCCATCATCTGGCGACTGAGTCAGGACACAGCTGGGAGCCGCAGAGGCGACGCTGCCGCGTTGGGATGACAGTGTTGTCGCGTGCTGCCTGTACTTGTGTTCTTTTCCTCCAGCAGGACCGATGTTGTGATAAGAAGATGTGTTTTGCTGCTGGATGTGAACATTGTCTGCCAGAAACATGCACGTAAACATAAAACCTTCTGTTGTTTTTGAACGTCTTTGGCATTACCGAGCATATTGATTACTTGGTGAACTGAAGCCATGTTCATTTTAATACCAAGTTTATTTGTATAGATTACTTTTTACAGCAGTGAGAGTAGGATGTATGTATCTCCGCACGAAAGTACACAAGTGTATACTTTCGGGGTCCATCAAAAACTTATCACACCACAGCAGGACTATTGAGGCCACACAACTGCATCTGAGCACAAGTTTTGACGATATTACTGGGGTAAATATATTATTGATAAGACAAACAAGCTGCTAGTCATTATTAACAAACTGACAGCTCATGGTTGGAGAAAAGCTCAATGTATCAATTTTGAGCTGACATGAGTGGGAGTGGGATTACTGGCTATGTTCGAAAACTCTCGACAGTAAGATAGCTGTCTTACTGCCCTGACGTCTCGTCAAGACGGGTGTCTGACTCCAGATATTTTTACGGGTGAAGATATCTAATAAAAACATTGTTTTCGAACGGTCTTTTAAGACAGTTGCGTAGATGATAACGTGTGCCGTTGGTGCGCTGAAAGAACGTTAGGCTATCTAACGTAGGATAACGTGCTAATGTTAGAAAGGTGGCTGACTGACGCCTCGCAAACCACATCAACCATTATTGCTGGTTACAATAATGGCGTTATCGGATAGAACCGTGTCTATTTCTCTGTAACACAAAATGTCCATAAAGTAAAGAGTGTCCTTTTTAAAAGTTGTATTAGAATGTTTACATGCTTGTCTGCTTATGACAAGGTAAATGCAGTTAAATTACCCTACATTTTCAGTTTATTCCTGTTAATTCCCGTTAATTCCCGTATACTTTGAACATTCCCGCAATTTTGCAACAGGTAAAAAAAGAGGACAGCATTTATTTGTCCGTGCCACTGCACCCACAAATATGGATGTTTTTTGCCTGCAAAGTGGAAGTTACACGAGCCAAATAAGCTGCGCAAAGCAAGCGGTGTCATCATGGTAGACCATAGCATCAAACTAGACTCCGGCTAATTCACTTAGTGCTCCAGTTAGCAGAGAGAAACAGAATCATTGTGGGAGCAACAATAGCCCATTAGCCGTGAGTTAAAGAGTTCCATCAGGCCCCGACACCTCCTCCTCCTCCTCCTCCTCCTCCTCCTCCTCCTCCTCCTCCAGTAACAAGCAGTCTGCAGGCCCACTGGAGCTGGGAGAGACTAGGTCCCTAATGAACCACTGAAGACACTCGTGTCCACTGAGTCAAGGTTGAAATGTGCCACTGATGGCTGATAGGAGGCTGTGTCAGATCCAACCAGAGAGCAGAAAAGGCCCCCCAACGGTAAAAGTTACTTGTGAACCGTGTGGGTCGTTTGTACTATTTAGTATGCATGAGTCCAGTTGAGGCATTTAAACAACTTCTGCGGGCTCCTCATTGATATAGAGGCACAGCATTTTTTATAAGAATTTACAGCCACACACAAGGACCGGAAAAAAAGGTTGGTGTTAAAATAAATGTCCTGTCGATCCCTCTTTTGACATTCCAAACTCCCTTCCCTTTTTTCTTTTATTCCCCGTGTCGTGAGACGTTATCGTGCCTGCGCAGGTCATTCGTCTCCCTTTCTGATGACTCACGTTTTTTTCCCTCCGCTCATCAATTCCACCGAAGTAAAACTTTTGAGTGCGTGAGTTATGAATCCTCAGCCGCCGCCCTGCTGCCTCCGTGTTATGAAATAAGAAGATGACTTCCACACCACAGTGCCTGAGTCACAGCACAGAAACTGCACTTTTAGCACCTTTCTAGAGGGCCTCAGCCGAGCCCCGAGCGCTGCTCCTCAGCTGACTGGAAAAGGTCAAAGCTGTTCGCTTTGACAAGATGAGTTATCACAGAAATATATAAAACACATGCACGGTTGTAACCTTGTATAAGCTTACCTTAACGTCTATATAAATAAGAATGTGTACTTTGTCAATCTGTCTTGATGGTTTAGTTTATAACTTCTAAACCATTGGCATGTTATTTCTGAGAGTAGCCTCATTTAAACGGTTTTGCCCAGTAAAGCCCTTGAAAGGGGAGTAGAGGGGAGGGGGGGGACTAATAGGCCCTGCAGGGCATATTGTTTAACAAGCACTGGCATCTCCCAGTGAGGTGACTCTGATGATAATGGCGAGGCAAAGGCGGGGGCGACACCCACCCAGAGCTTGGATGGCCAGCAATGCGGGAAGCAGGAGGGACAGCATGCTTTTCCAGCGTGGATTCGAACCGCAGGTCAACTCCTTCAGACACGGCGCTGCAGGGGGAGAAAAAAACACACACACAGATGTCTGGAGAGGGGGAAGATTGCAATAACAAGGCACAACAATAGCACCGCAAAATAAGACTGTAAGTGCAAATGGCAGATTGAGGTAAAACAAAAAAACAGTTAAGTCTTTGTCTTTTTCAGTTTGCCAAATGTATCTGAATGGGACGGTTTAGGTGTGGTCTCTGGCCCGGTCGAGCCTTCTGTCTGCGCAGGGGGAGTGCTGACAGATGGGGACTTCCAGAGTTGGGTGCAAAGAGCTGAGCCAAGCTCTCTCCTCAGCTTCCAAGAGGGAAAAGACTACTTTAAGAGCCAGAAGAGGCAGAGAAAAACGACCCTCTCCCCCGCTCTACGACCCCCTCTACCACTGTTCATATCTGTATTTGTTGTGGTGCCATTTTTTGGGGATGAACCCTTCTTGCTGTGAGGCGACCACTGCACCACCGCCACGAATGTCTGAGTGTAAATCACGATGCTTAGAGGGAAATAAACAATAAGGAGCAGCGAGCGTTATGACGACGTGTGTTCGTTACGTAGCACAAAGTCATTTTTATTACCTCACTAGGAACGTGTTTTATGCACTTAATCTAAATGGAGGCTGTAGGCCTACCAGGTACCGAGCTGTACAAAAAAAACCATAAGGAAGCTACTGCATTAGAACTACAAAAATGGACGGTTCGAATATAGAGAGCAGCATGTTTAACCAATGAGAGGTGACTACGCCTGTGTGATGGAACGTGTTCATGACATGATGTCATCCTCTGTTCGTGGCTCACAAGCTTAAGCACAGACAGGGACTGTGTGACAGCTGTTGGGGGACTGTGGACTGCTGATGCTGGTCGAGTCCTTGTTTGAGAGCTACTATATCGCAATCACTTTTTTATTACATCTGTTATATAATAACGTTCTTGTCTCCGGATCTTCTTCGAGTCCACCCAAAGATTTTAAACCAACCTTTATTAGTATTTTTGTTTTGTTTATTGAATGAGAATTTCTTACTCAACATTTACAGTGATCACTGTGAATGTTTCTTAGCTTTGATGATGTTAAACGGTGTAATACGCCAATCACTCAACAACAGAGATATTTTTTCTTACTATGAATGATTTTATGGATGTCAGCTCTTACCCCTCCTCGCGCTCAACTAAAACGTTTTCCATTCATGGCCTCGGCAGAGAGGATGTGGGCAGGAGAGCTGCTTCCTTGCCGAGGAACCATTTGCTGTGTGGACTTTCAGACGGAGACCAACTCAACAGGATCTGAATGGTCAAACGTGTTTAGCTTCAGAGGCAGAGAGAACGGGCTTCAACGACGTGCGTAGATATTAACTGAAGAAAAGACCAGAAGGGGAAAGATTAGGAACTTGAAATGTGCCGACGCACCAAAGTCTGACTCGGCCCCTTTCCTCCAGACTCCGGGAAGCCATCAAAGCTTTTTACCGGATGACTCAACTCCTTAACCGAGGCCGTGCCAGCAAGCAACCGCTGTGTTCCTCCTTTCATTTTAGGACTCGACTTTAATGACTCACTTTCCTGTCGGAGATGAAAACACTTGGGGGCTTAAGAATATAACGACAGAATAACCTTGAAGTTTGCGATTATTGAAGGTTGTTTTTAAAAAAAAAGCTCTGTTGTCCATCACAGCATCACAATAACATATCAAAGCTATCGCTGGTTCTTTATTCAGACCATTCAAATTGAAAAGAAATCGTTCGCTGACAGACTGTTTAAGAGTCTCACGAATTTGGTCGTCATCTTTTGAGCCGTTATCACCAGTGTATTTCATTTTGACACTGCGATATGGATTATTAAGCTTCTTGCTGTGGTCCAAGGAAAGATAAATGACTGTGAAGTATCACAGAACATTAGAGTCGTTGTCTAATGAGAAATCTGGCACTTTGTCTTTTTATTGGAACTTCTGTTTTTGAGTCCACCCTTCTCCTAAATGACAAAGCCGTACTTAAGCACGATGAGGATAATGAATCTGACTGACTGTCTGCCAGCACCATTGCCAACCTCCTCCCGCTATCGGGAAGCATTCAACCCAGGGACGTTTCCAACCTGGAAGTCTCCGGTTGCATGAAGGACCACGTCGGGGGAATCCCTCGGGTGACTGAATTCACTTCATGGAGGGAAATGTTCCCTGCAGTTGTTGAGTGAAATAGTCTAATTAGACATTAGCTTGTCCAACTAAAGAAAGAAGAGCTTAATAAACGTCAAGAAAAGTTTTAACGTGCATCTCACTGATAAGTAGTTACTGAGGCGGTAAGAACTGGGCCAATGGGTCTTCTCAAGAACAGAAAACTGGATAGGAACAGTATGCAATGTGACAGATACTCCATATCTCATTTTTGTAAAGCCACGGGAGCCAATTTGGAGTAACCTCTATCATATTGCAGATCGACATTTGTGTGCATTATTATGGAGATGAAATAATATTATGAACCGTCAAGCTGCAATGCATTCACAACCCGGCAATAAAATGATAATAATAATAATAACAACGTGAAAGAGCACCGTGTATAGTGCAAAATAACACAATTATCTCTCGGCTATGTCAGAAATCATTTCCTACACAAGTCAGAACGGTTCAAAAAACATCTTTGCACGTTCCACAGGATGCTGCAGCTGCCAGCTGCCCCATAGTGTGAGAAGAGCACCATGAGGCCAGGCAAGGTCCTCACTGCGTCTTGGAGAACATACACCTCCTGTCATTACGCTTTGCGATGAACTATATTCTATTATTTATTGACCCTTATGATTTGCGTTGCACTCTGTTCTTGGGTCTTGAACCGCAGGTCCCTTTTTATTATTATAGAGTTTATTTAATCCACAACCAGAGAGAGACAGAAGACAACATACTACAATATGGTTTAACTTGTAAAAGTTATTGTGTTTAGCTGTATGGATGACGCTGTTGCAGGAGGATTTGTAAAGAGGAAATATCCCCTGCTGACCGTTATATATTATAACTTTTTTCAGCTATCAATAAGTCACTTGAACTTATTTATCCACTTCATTTATTTTTCCCTTTGGTATTTGTGGATGGTGCATGTTGACTAACATAATAGGGGTTTATAACGTAATAGGGTTTAATATGTTTTTAGCACAAAATTGAATCATATCATTTGCTTCTGGGATTTTCTTGAGACCAAAATGTTGCTACTTCCTGCTGATCATGAGACTTTTTACCACAAAGAAAGGACCAAAATAAAAAGTGTATTTAAAAAAATGTGTATTTCTAAATTGCAAAAAAAATAAAAACCACGTCTACTAGGGGTGTCGAAATAATAATATTGGATGGCAAAATGTAGTTTTAGAGATGGGGGCTGAAGGTTTTTGCATTGAAGTTACAGCCACGACAAAAAGCAGGACTCTTTGCTAGATATTATAATGTTGTGTGCACATTATGTTGTCTTGCATATACATGCACATGATGTACAGGGGGAGGGGGGGATCAGGCCCAGAAAGAAACTCATAACTGTTCCTTTCATAAACCCCTCTTCGAGTTCTGGAGAGTTACCGTCACACAGAAGAACCGCATCGCTGGCTGCAGTGTGGACGTTCCGCCTGAAGGGGGCGCCCCAGATGTCTGTGAAACCTTATATCTGCTGTGTGGCTTGTAGCTAAACGACCATCAAAAAAAGTAGCCGACGTGACATGGGACCAATGAATGGAGCCAACTATGTGCCCCCCCTCACCGCTGCTTGAGTTAACGCGGTTCTTCTCATCTCCGCCAGCTGTTGAACGTCTTCGAGAATAACCGAAGTTCGAAGTTATCCTTTTTTGCGTAGGTGTGACAACCTTTTCCCGTTAGCTCGCGCGCTGCCCCCAAACTCCATTGTGTCTTTCTTATTGTCCACGCTTACCATATTAGGAGGGCGGGACTCGGTCCAGCGGCGTGGAGTCTTTCCTCTGTGCGGCACAGCAGATGTTATTCTCCGGGGTGGTTCATTCCTCTTACGACAAAGCTCGGTAGAAGTGCTGCAGATGTGCCCGTACTTTGTCTGGAGGGCAGATGTGAGGCTTTTTGGTTGTGGGCAGGTTCCATAGGTTTGGTTCTCCCCAGAAACCCCTCCTTGCTGATTTGTCCAGCAGTGATGTCACACCGACGGGGGAGAAAGATGACCCGACCCCCCCGAGTTAACCATTTGTGAACACACTTGTATCACACTTATATTTTGTTTTAACACCGCATACAGTTTTTCAAATGTAATTTTTGAATCACACTGAGCTTGTCTTTTGACAACTGAAACTGATTTTGTATGCATAGTGTAAATAAACTTATCAGTCCAACATATTATCTTATCTTGAAACTTAATATAATCTTTAATATGCAGCCGGAAAAATCAGGGTGCAAATTAGTTAAATGGCTAGAAATGCAATGAATGAGCGCGAGTAGTAAAACGCATTGCTTTGGATCATCGATGTATAAAGAAAAAACGGTTTGGAGCAGCAGACGTAAACGTTACGTACACCACGTGACTAAAACCAGGAAGTGAATCGAGTGTCAACAATAAAATGGTGAGTGAGTGAGTGAATGTGCTGTTCTTTCACGCACGGCTGTTCTCGTGGTGTTTATGCTTGACATAACGTGAGTTTTAGGATCGCATGAAGGGGTAGTTCTTCGCCGGAGACACGTTGCGAGGAGATAACGTTTCATTTAATTCTGCGAATCGGCTTTTTCATTTTTCTAACAAAGCTAAGGAGCTAGCCGGGGTTTGTGATGGTCTGCTAACGTGACCCCCTTCCCTCAGCAAACATGAATGAGGTAATAATCCGTTTCGTTTAAAATAATTGAATTATTCGACTAACGGCTATTTTCTTTCGTATGTTGTAACGTACGTATACTTTTATCAAATCACCGCGCACGGAAGTTGTTTATTGTTTTTTATGTTTTACCGACCTCAGTCTTCCTACCGATCAAGTGTGTACACCGCGTTAATGTTGTGTTGTGTTGTGTTTGTGAAAAAGTTAGAGATGGCTTCTTCCGACTGGCACCTGTCCCTGAAGTTGGCGGATCATCCCAAATCCACCTTCCACTTCCCGGACATGATGCCGGGGGACGTCCCACCTGGAGGATACCGGATCTCTACTTTGAAACAACTTGTTGCGGCACAAATCCCAGACTCCATCCCGGACCCCGAGCTCATGGGTGCGTTACAGCTGTGTTGATCACACGTGTTAGCGGTGCTTTTTGGCGTGTGCTGTGTCTGCATTGACATCTCTGTTGGTGTCCGGTATCAGAGCTGGTCCACTGCGGGCGGAAGCTCAAGGACGACCTCACTCTGGATGCCTGTGGGATTCTATCTGGATCCACTTTACACATCCTGAAGAAGATTTGGCCAGAGCCACAGAGCAATCCAGGTATTCGTGTTCATCATCTACATATTGGATTGTAAGCTATAAATTGGGGATATAAGCTTTTCTCTTAAGGAAACTGAATGCGTGTTTGTGATTTGTAGAGCCTGTAAACAGAGCAACTGCGGCCAGGGAGTTCAGGGTGTTTCACGCCGCTCTTCACTCCCTAAACTCGGCCTACAGAGACTCTGTGAGTAGAAAACACACACACTGGGGCAAGCACATCATGCTGCCCATGACCCCCACCTCACAACATGCAACATGCACTTTATTTTATTTTCTCATTTAATCATTTACGTGGAAAAACAGGGATTGTTTATACGAATTATCCATTGAGCTCCTTCATTCTAAACCTGTCTTGAGTTATCTGATGTTGGCAAAAAACTGTGTCCAGTAGGGTCCGGTAGCTTTGCCGTGCCTCATGCACAGTGAGTTGACAAATAGGTTGTCCTTCACCGAATTGGTACGTTTGCTCTGTCGAATAATTTTGGACACACTCATCCTCGACCTGGGGACTATTTGTTTTGGGTGATTGCATCTTTCTCTCCAGTTTGCTGCTGCGTTCACAGCCGTTTACCTCGGATAGAATCACTCTAGATGCATTTCAGTCATCCTGTTACCGGAGCCTGGGCAGCTACGAGCTGGTTGAAAATTCTCTTCATCTGTTTCAGACCGGCAGCTTATTTGACATAAACATATACAGTCCCACTCGCTTCTATTGATATTGATCCATGGATATTGTTCCGGATGTGGATTTCCTTACAACAAACTGTAGGTTGTAAGGACTGTAATTATTAACTGTTGCTTAATAATTCATTTGGTTTAATAACCCTCAACTGTGTAACAGACAACATATTTTTAATTTTGTGTTACACAGGTATATAAAATGCTGACAAATAAAGAATCTTTGGATCAGATCATCGTGGCTACGCCGGGCCTCAGGTCAGACCCAATTGCTCTAGGTGAGACCCGCTTGGTTTTCTTGACACTGTTATGCCATCTCTTCGTAACGTGCAAATATGCAAATGATAACATTTCCCCTGACGCCCCTTTCGTGTGTTCAGGGGTGCTCCAAGACAAAGATCTCTTTGTGCAGTTCACGGACCCTAACATGCTGGATATGTGAGTGCGGCTCGTCTCTCATGGGCTCTAACGTGAACCATTATGGGGGGGTGGAAGGTCATTTATATTTACATCTAAGCTCTACCGTCCTTTTATTTTTTTGTAGATTGATCAGTTCACACCCAGCCCTCGTCAACGCCATCATCCTGGTCCTGCACTCCGTGGCAGGCAGCATACCCCCTCAAGCCAGCGCCGGCTCCTCTCGCAACGTCTCTGCCGGTTCCTACAGCGATATGCCGGGTGAGGAGTCGATGACAGTTAAGGGATGATGCTTCAGCTGCTTGCTGTCGCTCGGCTGCCCTCTTTTTTTTTTTTTAATGGTGTGTTTTTCCTACAAATGTTCTTCTCTGGCAGGGGGCTTCATGTTTGAGGGCATGTCCGACGACGAGGACGATTTCCAGTCTGTGAGTCACTCCGCTCTAAACTCTCGATATCTGATATCGTGTTGGATGAGAAGTGACCACGCTGGGGGCTATTTGTGTGTCTATATATATGTGTGTGTGTGTACCAGGGCAGCCCAGCAGGCCCCTCCAGCAGGGCAGGGGGCTCGGCGGGAATACGGCCAGTGTCTCTGAGCCACAGTGGAGCGACGGGCCCTCGACCAATAACGCAGAGCGAGCTGGCGACCGCCTTGGCCCTCGCCAGCACTCCTGACAGCAGCGCGGTCACTCCGACAACTTCAAGCCAGGTGGGGTGTATTTACGTTTGGGGGGCGAGTTTATATTTTTTACGAACTTATTTCAAAAGACATTTCTACGTATTTTGCAGATGAGTTATTTTTTTTTTTTTTTGTTCTTCTTGTTTTTTTTTACGAAGGCGGACCCCCCCGGTGGCGTCGGCCCGATGCCAACAGGGACCCCAGTCAGTAACGACCTCTTCAGCCAGGCCCTACAGCAAGCTCTGCAAGCTTCCAACATGACCGCGCTACAAGTGAGGCTGTCGACTCGGCCATTTGGCAAAGATAGTATCAAATCCTATTTAGACGTTAACGGGCTTTAGTGGCAGACGATTTGTTATGTGGGATCATTGTGAGCAGATACACCGCAGCGGTAAATAGTTTATGGAGAGCTGAAATAAGGCAAGAAGGCCGCTGCTCTAGACCGGCGGCTCTTTGGACGAGATGCTCATTCGGTGAATGTGTTTTTGTTGTGCCAGGGCCGCTGGCAGTCCCAAATGCAGCAGCTGAGGGACATGGGGATCCAGGACGAGGATCTGATGCTGAGGGCGCTGCAGGCCACAAATGGTGACATCCAGGCTGCCCTGGAGCTCATATTCGCCGGAGGGCCAGGACTCTGAGCCCACACCCCACAGACACCGGCCTTTATAAAGGAGAGAAAGTGTGTGTGGGGGGGGTGGGTTGAGCATGGTGCCCAGACATGAGAAGTTATTGCTTTACACATACAGTAGACATTTATTTTTTATTGTTACCCTGGTTTTCCCATTTGCAGACAGTATCATACGAGCGCCACAGTTCACGACACCTTTCTCTTGTTGATGCAACTGGAAGTAATAAATGTTATTTGCTTATCTCATCAATTCCTGAGTCTCCCTGTTTGTTAGATTGATTGATTGTAAACGTATTGCATTGGTCGGTCTAAGTGCTCCGTTGAAATAGAAGTCACCTCGTGCCTGCTCAGATTCCTTTTTTTCACGTTTATTTTTCTTAATTGCATAAATATATGGAAAAGTAATAACATTAGTAGTGGGTTTCAGTATTAAAATGTGTCCATCCCCCCAAAAAGCATCACCCCATACACAGGTTTTTTACCAAACGTGTGTAATTCATCTATTTGTACACTAGATGGCAATGCAGTAGTTTATTATTTCTATCCAGACGTTAGTGGTGATCATAAGTCATCCTAGCAGACGTTCATTTGCTCTTCTCCCTTTGCTAAATTTCCAATTATCCTCATGATCTCTTTCGAACAGTTTGTGATTAATTAATTTTTTTAAATGTGTTGCTTCTTTGCTTAGCCGACCATAAATGTACACAAGTGAGTTATCTAGATAACAGCTTCCCTCTTTGTCACATCAGGGTATTATAGGGGAGGACATATTGGATCCCTCTGCTGTCTACTCTTCTCCATCTACAGTAATTGGCCTGTTTAGTTTTATTACTCCACCTGTGAATGTGACAACTCAATCAGCAGGTTGCCTTTTCACGAGCACGGCACCCAAACAGCGCTCGCTTTCCATCCGTCCGTCCCCATCACCGTTTTATAAGCACGCACACCTGCGGCACTATCCGCCTCCAAGGGTATTTAAGGGGGGGTGCGGCAATTTCCACAAAGCTGAGAGAAACTGTATCGTGGATGGTGGATAAAAATGTCATTGCCAAAATGTAAAAGGAGACTGCTCACCCAGACACAATAGTGGACTTTCAAACCAAGCCACAGTAATGCAGTCTTCCCACTGAAGCTGCTTAAACTGCCATCACAAGCCTCACAACTGCAGCTTTCCAGATATTCTAAGCGATTAGCTGTGGAAAAATGTCATGTGAAGTTGCCGCGGAACACAAGGTATGGATGAGCAGGTGTGTCACGTATTTAGGTGCATTTTGTTTTCAGCCGTGAAAGTAGTACAAGACCAAAGGTGAGGTCCCATGGCCTGAGC